AAGGGGCCTTACGACTCAATGTGTCTCCATTAATACACTAATTATACATTGCAATCCGATCAGACTCGGTGTGGAGGTTTCCGAGGTAGCTCTAAAAAAACAAAATAAAAGAAGGATTCTTAACGAATTCTATATATTTTATATAATTCTTATATATCTCAAATTTTTCAAACACTGATGATCAATTTAAAAATTAATCCCCAGAATACATCAAGTACACCATATTTGCTATTAGAAATCATTTTTCTTTTTGATAATCAAAACAATCGATTTTTTCTAAACCGTGTGGACAAATCAAAAATAAAAATAAAAAATCAAATTTCACTCAGAATTTAAAATATAATTATAATAAAGTGGTTTTAATCTTCCAATTAAAATAGCGTATAAACTTAAAGACTTTCACGAGGTATAAAAGATTTGTTTTCAAAATATAATCACGAAGTAATTCAAATATAACCCTAAAACAAACTGTATTATTATTTATTTTTCGTGTTTGTTCAAACTTTTTAAAAATCAACTTCTTCGTTAGAAAACCGAATAAAAATAAACCTAATTTCTTATTATTATTTTTAATTTTTTCTATGGAAATACAACTTTTCGTAAAAAATACGCTATTTAACAATATACGTACAAAACGGTCGGCATAACTGTACACCGTTCGATTGCGTTACACCGATATTTGTTATTATTTAATCGTTCGTCGAGACGCGAAGCGTTTACGGAGTACAACAATGTTGCGAATCAATGTTTCGTGCGAGACGACGACGGCAATATTTCGACTCGCGGGATCCGTTTCTCCGATTACGCGTCAGCTGGAAACACAATTCGACACTTTGCGGTCGACATTAACCGGTCGTTGAAAATCACGTTTCGGTTTCCGAATCACAGTAACGTTCATCATGAACTCTTACAATGAGCCCGCAGCCGCTCTCGCTCATCACCCTTCGTACCGTTCCACACTAAGTAGGGCTGGATTTAAGAATGGGTCCACTCATAGAAGTAGATTTTTTTTTCGATTACACATATTTAATAACCAAAATTTCAAATATTCAGAATTTTGGATAGGAAAAAACAATGATTTGTTACGATGAAACAATAAAGGTAGTAAATTAATTTAAATTTATACTCGTAAGCCTGCTACTAATTTTTATTCAACTATAATATATAAATATATTATTATCTATTAAATATAAATAATAACATTTATTTATAAATTTATGACAATATTAATGATTGAACATTTTTATTCAAGTTGTGATTTAAATTTATTTTGTAAATGTTATAGTGTTTTATACTGTTATACTGTTTTATACTTAGATAAAAAAAAAACCAAATTTAGTGAAGATTCTGGACCCTTTGCCCCTCCCTAAATCCGGCCATGACCCTAAGAGACAAGGGTGAAAACGGGATACGCTATACGCGCGCACCCCGAACGAATCGGTTTTGTTTTCGATCACTTTTTATCAGATTTACAAATACGACAGATTGTCAGCGGTACTCGCAGCCATCGATCGTACGCAAGGGTCGACAGTAACGCTGAATCCGCGGGATCGAACGATGGCGTTCACCTGTGGACTCAGCGAAACGTCGGATAAATCTTTTTTTTAAACGTCGCGAACTTTTTTTTTTTTTTTTGGCGCTATTCGCGTTGTCATCATCATCATCTCCGTTAGGCAATACAGCTCTGGGGCCTCAGCCCAAATAATAATACGGTAATGATTACCGTTCCGGAATGTTAATTAACTTGTTCCGGGAGTTTCAACGCGTTTACGACGAGTGTGCACAAACGACCCAAATCTATTTTGTTTTTTAACAATACAATTAATTAAAAAAGTATAAATAAATAAAATAAAAACGTGTGCAATTAAAATGGTACTCGGTTGCGGACACGGTTTTTTGAAATCTTTCGACGAAACAACAGTAACGGCAATGACCCGAGGACGAGATCACGCGGTACCATCGCGTTTATTATTCGAAAATTCGCTCTAAAACACCGACTTTTGTACAACAATGTATCGTTTTGACCAAAAATGTTCTCCACGTAAATGTACATTATCATGTTCTAGCGTCCATAAATATGATTCAGATTCGTCATTTCCTTCGACGATAAAACACGTATATTCGTTTCTACGAACCGAAAAATATGATTTATATTTAAATTCTGAGCTATAACTAATGGTTATTCTATTGTTGCAACTTGCACCGATAAATATTTCTATAAAATCAATATATTATTATTTGGAGTTAATTTTTTTTTTTTTTTATAACATACTCTCCTTTTATAACCGTATAGATCCAATGCTCTGTAAATAAAATTGTGTTTTAAAATGTATGAGAATATAACTACAATTACGTTTGATAAGATGTTAATAATAACGTAAATAAAAATTTTAATTTTTTTTTCCTGATTTGAATTTATCAAGGGAGAAAAATAAAACTAAAAATTGTAATTTCCTGAAATCTAAGAACAAATCCTATTAAATGTATAGATACTCTGGATTGTCATTTCTAAATTTATTGATTATATAACTTTTTAAATGCAATTTTTCAATTATGAAAAAATAGGTCTTACATTTTATCAATAATTATTAAATATGCTAGAACAATCAAACGTCGTCAATTTAATTCCATACTGATTAAAACCAGTTTTTTTTACACAACCGTGTAAGATTTCTTATCTATTCCATAAAAAAAATTAGAACTCAAATTGTTATTTTTATTTGAATAATTTATATTATATTAACAATTAACTGACTTAACGAGAAGCTATACTTTAAAAGTACCCTGAATAGTATTTCAATACGTTTGTTGTACACAATTTAGTCATACGTTGAAGTATAATATTATCTTTAAACGAGACTTTGATGATTTAAACGGATATACTCGTGTATAAATTTTTGTTATCTTTTTTCTTTTAATTTTTTTTTCATTACAATATCATTGAATATGATTTTCAGTTTCTTTGGAATTTTAGAATAACGAGTTTATACAATTATGTAGATGTAGTTATGAAACTTTTTATTAAAATTTATGGTAATTTGTTCTACTTTAACAGCTGCGGGTTGGTCCTATAAATGTTTTCATTAGATTACGTATGGGAGTAAGTGGGATAGTTACCGTCGTAAAATCTTTGATTGAAGACCTTTTGATATTATTTATTCCCGAAATATATAACTAGCATACCGAAAACTGATTTGATAATTCATGTTTATGAAAGTGATAAGGGATTTGTAAATTATAAATTTAGAGTACATTCCACTAGAGTTTGTACTTATTTATTTATGTAAACATTGTTTACCATTTAATATTTACGACAATAATCCAGTGACATGAAAACATTGTTAATTTATCTAATTATCGACTGAAAGTAATACGCAATTATTTACATTTATTTTTTTTTTTTTTTTTTTTAATAATAATAAAATACAGATTAATAAGATAAATTAGTGGTTGGCTTAAATTTAAAAATTTATCAGTATTTTTTAAATCATTTCAATAGCTATACGTGCAGATAATTATCGAATTATCAAAAGAACTGACGGCAAAAGAAAAAAAGGACGCGAAAAAATTATATTAAAATAATTATCGATTCATTTTTCTGTTCGTTGCGTTAACGAGTGTACCTGTTACGAGTTACAAATCGGTAGCTATAGGCAATATGCATAATATTACCGACATGAATGTTATTAATTTGCCTACCACTATGCCCCGTACTACAACGAAAATGACTAAGCGTCAATTAACAATAATGCGATTGGTGTTTTCCTAATGCGTGCAATCACTTTGAAACACACAAATATTTTGATTTACGAGACAGGAAGAATTGATAAATGTACCGAACAACAAGAGGGTCCTGAGGATATTTGTTGCTGGACTACTCAAGGAATTATTTCTACCCGAAAGAACAATACAGCACATTTACTTTTATCTATTATACTCGATACGTTTTCAATGTATCCAATAGTAACGCACAACGCAGACTCACAACGTTAATTCGATCTCGATGGAAAGCGTTTTGAAATAATTGAAATCAAACAAACGATTTTTACCCGGACTCTTTTGACTATTATATGTGTACATATTATTATTATATTATTATATTTTATGTGTTCTATCGTTCAGTTCAAGCGCTCGCATTATGTCGCGTGTCTTGGAAGCACGATTTCGTACGACCCCATATCCGTACACCCACACGGGGGTAACGTCAACGCCGAACAACGGTCGCGTACCAATATTCGTAATCGCCACATAATATTGGTGTTACATTATTATATACATTGTACACGGAAATAATGTGGTCGCGTGTAGCACATGTTCCATTTCGAGCAGCACCGCCGCAGTTGAACAACAATTATTTGGTTGGCACTCCGGGTAGATTTAACGGATAAAAAAAATATGGGGTCGCAATGAATTTTTTGTTATTTTTTTTTTTTTTACAATTAGCATAGAAACTTTTTTTTAAGCGTGTACGACCACCCGAAACGTTTAATCGATTTCGACGGTCAGTTTATTTTTCACCAACCGTTGTTTGGCCGTTTCGCAAAACGTCATTAAAAACCACAGAGATTCAGAGGGGGGGGAGGTCGTGATGCGTTTTTGATATTCTTTGAATGCGAAATTCGGATCGCTTTGATGTGATGTCATTGACGCGTAAGTTTATGCCGGAGATGAGGGTGGAAACTTTTCTCGGGGAAAGATAATAAAAAGCGGGTTGCCGACACACGAATAATAATATCGTCGTAACAATAACAATAATAATAATATGCCTGTTTTCCCGCTTCAGTCGGCAATAAATCTGCCGCCGACTGGAACTTCGAGCGCTCGCAGGTCGTACGCACTCGCGTCGCGTGGCCGAAACGTCGGCCGACATGACGGTGTGCATAATTTATACATGAAAACACGTGCGCGTGTGTACAAATAACGGGTAAAAATTTGTGTCGGGGGACGGACAAGTGGAAAAAGGGACGAGACCCCGAACAAAGGAATATGATTTATGTTACAGCGGCGTGATGCGGATCGTCGTCGTTGTCCTCGTCGCGTCTACTTCGTTTTCCGACACAAGCCGGTTCGTTCTTCGGGAAACTTTTGTGGACCGTTCGTTTTCTGAAAACAATAACAAAATGATTGAGACGACCCCAACACCGATGTTCAGGCCGATTCGATATGAATTATAGACACATAATATTATGTTATTGCGAACGAACCAATAAATAAAACGGCAGGATAATAGTTGGCAGTTGTTCGTCCTTCTTGACCCTTCTTCGGCACTCGGACTGGATAACGGTAAAGGAGGTGTATTGAGTTTTAAGGAAATTAAAACTAATTTTTTTAGTAAAACGATTTGGAGCAATACTTAGGTACAAAAATATACCGTTTACAAAATTTATCATTTCAAGTGTAATCGTCGACAGGCTCATTTATTTTTTATCAACCAGTTTTAAATGTTCTGGTTTTGACGAAAGAGAAATATTTATTAGACGAATATTCAAAAGGTACTGTTCTATCAGTATTTAAAGTTTCATTATCATCGGATGAAACATTTTTTTTTTTTTTTTTTATAAACATTTTAAGTTTAAAATTGATGTAAAAACATTAAGTTTTATAGAAATCGTATACTCAAACGCTTATAAAATAAAATTCCAACAGATTATTTTTGAATGTTTTTTCAGTATCGTTAGGTAAGTATATGAATAAAGTTATTTTAAATTTTCAAGTCACAATATCCAAAAATTAAAATGTTTTAACATAAAAACTTTATCAAAAAAATTATGTGATTTCAAAATTTTATATGTTAACCAAAAGCGCTTAACTTTTTTTGAAAATTTTGTCAAATATCCAATAAATGTATATGATATAGGGCAAAAATTTCAAGTTTCTAGTCACATTACTATTGGAGTTATAACAAAATAACTAAAATCAGAAAAGTGAAAGTCTTACAGTGCATTTTTACCATTTTTATTCGATTTTTCAGCAGTTTTTGCTCACGCCTGATAAAACTATTGAGATTTCGGAAAAATGACCAACAGTACCGCTGCAGGCCGATTTCGAATCTAAAAAAGTTACTAAATAAAATTTTTGGACCAGTATTTCAATTCGAAAAAGTATTTATAGAAAAATATTAAAATCATTGCAACATCAGTACAACTATTTTTCGCTATACTTAAAATCTAAAACTATATTCACAATAGTTGTCTTATAAATGTATCACGGGAATAATGATAACCGATACATGGAAACGTTGCTTTCGCATCCAATTAGAACGCGACATGCGCTGAGGAATATAATTAATTCAAAAACAAAACTTTCAGAATCGTTCTCAACGTTGTCGTCGTCCTAATAAAATCAACGCTAATAGTACGCATACATCATAGTTGTTAAAATTTTATCCAAGCATGTATAATATTTGGAATATTTGGAAAAAAATACACACCTGTCGGAAAATCTTAAGCTTCATCTGACGACCCGTCTGACGATATGGTTTTGTGCATAGTCTTACAGCCATGATTAAACTGATTTGTTTAATTAAAAGTGAAAATCGATCGAGTTAGCGCATTCGAGCTGGCACTTCGTTCGGCATTGAGTCAAAATCAATTTGGACGAGTATATTGTTTCTGAAATTTTATTCGATAACTACTAATGGCGTAGAAGTTCATTTTGAAAAATAACAATGAGATTCGTTATAAAAGTTCAGTGTCAGAACGAATAATAAAAAAATACACAACGGAAATAAAAAATTACAAAACTATGTTAATTTCCATATTATACACTGTTAACGGTTATAAATATAAATAAATTTTAATATAAAAGAGTTAAGCGTGAAAAACTGATTATTCATTTGTACCGGAATAAGCCAATACCGATGGACATTTCATAGCCAATATAATAGTATAATATACTCTGCGACCCGCCTAAAATCAAAATATTTGTACTGTACTATTGCAGCAGTTACTACCGACCATCAGCTGCTAGTATCAGTCATAGTTTTATTTTAGAAATGCTGGTCGAATGACCGTTGAAAAAAATATATTTGAACGAAAACGGACATTGGGGGAAAACAGTATCTCGTTTTGGGAAGAAAATGATCCCGTCTCGTCGGCCGGAGGGCAAACGATATGTTTCCCGGGACGATCGACGCCGTCGGGGAGAATGCAGTCGCCGGCACACTTACGCTCTCTCGCAATTGCGTTTCGGGTTTGCGCCCGTGTCGCACGCAATCGTGTCAAAATCGAATCGATACCGGAAACGCGCGTGCAAACGCGAAACCCGTTGCGATCCACACGATCAGCAAAACGGCGGACGAGGACGGGAAAAAATAACGGAAACGGTCGCTATTCCACGTTTTCATTTCTGAACCCATACACGCTTGTTCGTACAATTTTGGCGATTAAAATCGTTCTTTTGTTTGTACGTTAATTTTTATACACTCGCTCGCGTATGCGCTTCGGTCGTTTTAAAACCCATTCCTGCTCGTTAATCATCGTCCGACGACCGCCGTCCGCGCATCGATATCGTCACGTTGCGACCGGCGTAACCCGCATAACTTTTATTAATTTAAAATTTTTTTTTCAAATTTTTTATACATACATTTTTATTGTTTCGTCGAACACGTCGTGCATTCACAAATTTCTAGTTCCACTACCGCTCTTCGTCATGCCGACAATACGTTATTTATTCGTACTTACCCGTTTGGAATTCTATACCGTTCCGTTTGTAGTAATCCAAGTCATTACGTCATAACTAAAACCACTATCTCTTATCCTTGTTCTATTTTCCTTGGGCGTTGTCAAAACAACTATTTATTGCATTACTTTTATATCGGAAAATGGTTTAATAGTTAAACGGATAAATATTTTATTAGGAATATTAATATTATTTTTGTTAATCTGGAACAACGAAAAGCCTACTTTTCCTTGTTCTTGACCACTTTATGCATGACTCCCAATTATCTGCGTATAAATAGGGATATATTGTTGATACGTATTTAGATATGATATAACCATACTTGTGTATACACCGCTACGGTTAATCTTACATCATTAACTTATCGGGGTACCAGTACGTTATCTCAGTATTAATATATATGATTACTCTTAAAAGTGATACTCTTAAAAGCGTCTATTTATTTTTACTTCGAACCTATCTTATCGAACATGGAAATAACAGTAAAAGTGACTTCGTCGTTAAAACGTTTTCAGTCAGTCATTAATCAGACCGGCTAACTACATGTTGCACATCATATACACATAATATATATCAGAGCATATTTTAATATACAAAGTACAAGGCATTAGTGTCCCCCAATGATAATTAAATTTTATTCAGTTGTGGGTGATCGTGTCATTAACCAACACATTCTCATAACTACCGTAGTGACAGAAATTTATTTACCCTGTACGTTCCACTGCAGAATAACACCACGTTTATGAACTACGATGGTAGACAATTTTATTGAAGTGCCACCCACTGAAAATTACTTAAAATATGTTCTGATATGTATATTTATATATATTATATAGCAATACGCATTATGAATTTTATTATAATTATTATTATCACTGCAACGTGTTCTGTGACGGCGTTCATTGCCGTTCGTTACGGGACAAATACTACGGTATTGTACCGTAATAAATATAGGACACTGCATAACAGTGAATCTGTATGCGTCTATTGGCCTACACGCTTCTTCCGACTTTGTCATTTCGTCCATCGACGTGCGAATACTTGAACTGATACAGATGTCTCGAATGACTTTCAACGCTCTAAGGACTCCGAGCATAAGAAACACTTACCCGTTTACAAATAGTATGTATTCTAAACACGTTTGTCATCTCGGGAAAAATATATTTCGAAGGTAAAATTATTTCGGTGCCTTGTGTAAAATAGGATTTACCGATTGTATCATTATATTATATCATTGAATATAATCTGTTTTTTCTTGTACTACATGCATGAAACTGATTTCATATAACAATAAATTTTCCGATTCGAGTACGTCGTTGCATTCAACTGATGACGGTTTTATATCATACGCTGACATGTCGTATCCAGTGCACGGACTTGTATTCAAATATGCAGAATTTGTTAAGGGTACGTAATCGCGATGGACGCCGACGCATTTAGCGTACGAAAACATGTATGCCACAGCGTCCGCCGGGCGAGTAGACGAACAATAAACATTGCAATACCGTTTTCGCACCGATAACCGCAACATTATTAGCGTTACATTTTATAATGGAGAATAATACGACGCAGACATATTTTCATCTTTATGGTAACTAAAATATACAACCGTACACCCCGTGCTGTGTTCGAAATGATTTTCAATTATTCCGAACGGGTCGTAAACACGCCCGTCGCCCGCGACCCTTTCGCGCGCGCGTTATGCGCACCGTTATGTCTCGACACTGTTTCGCGGACGCGTCGCGTGTTTTTACGGTCACGTAATAAAAGGATCGCATACGGGTCATGGTTGGCGGTGCCTCGTTGTCAAACATTATTTCCGTCGTCGAAACGCGCGTTTCCGAACGTTTACAACAGCCGTTATCGTCCGTAGCTACACCGAAGCGTTTCGCGATATACGCAAAACCTAACCTACAACCATAGTCGGTGAGCTGAAGCAAAAACATCGATACACGTCTTGAAATGGATGTTACAGTGCACTGACCGCTCCTCTTTTTTTTTTTCGATTTTTTTACCAGTTGTTGTTCACCTCCTTTCGCGGATAAGATAATTGGCCGTAAACAGTTAAGCAATCGCAAACACAAGTATTCACACGCGCAGATCAAAGGCGACTATCCAAATTGTATAAGCTCCTTGCCGGAAGTCGAAATAATACCGTGCACACGAGTAAAACGTATTCTACACTTAGAGAAAACCACACTCCTCCGCAGTCCATCGTTCGAAAATCCCTCTTCACGCTGGCACACAACCTCGTTGAAGACTGTTGTTACGAACATACATACATAGTACGCCCTTGTGATTACTGTTACACGGAGAAATCACCTTTAACATGAATAATCTTATTAGAATTATTAATATTGTAATGGTAAAAGGTTAAAAATAGTAAAAGGACAAGTTGTCATCCGTTGATTATAAAACAAGTG